CGGGGCTGGCGTACGGTGAGCCGGTGGGGTTGGAGTTGGCCACGGGGCCGGCCACGTTGGCGTAGCTTATGTTGAGGCAGCTGCTGCTCTGGGGGTCTTCCTGTACCTTCTGCACGATGGCGCTCACGGCCTTGTGCACCTGCTCCGGCTCGCCGCTGACGGTCACCACCCGCTCCTGAAGGTTGATGCCCTCTGGCTTCTGGGACAGCTGCACCCAGGCACCCGACTGTTCCATCACGGCTTTCACTGTGGCGCCCCCCTTGCCGATGATCAGGCCCGCGGTGCTGTTGGGGACGATCAGCTTGGCCTGCGTGTGGGGCGAGAGGGAGGGGCTTTAGGATGGTGGGTGGAGACTGAACGGTAACATTAGTCTTCGGGCGGCCCTGCTCTCCCGTGTCCCCAAATCGGGCCCGCTGTGCCCCTTGATATTCACCGGTATGGTCCTACTGCTTGTTCAAAATGGTGACATACTTCCTTCCATAGTGGTTGGTTAAAAAAAAAAAGAGCCAGTACTCCATGTCCTCTCAGTAGGCTCTCAGCCACCCTGTCCCCTGCCCCTGGGACCCCTGGGATTTCCCTTCCATCCAGCACCTTAAAGGCTTAATGGCTGGCCCAGTGGGTGCCCTCCAGGACAGCGGGTGCTCCCAGCTTGCTTTGGGGCTCACGCCTTCTAGATCATTAAACACTCTGACTCCCAGCCCCAGAAAAAGTGGTCATTAAGTCTCACTTTACAGAGGAGCCACTTGAGGCCTACAAGGGACTGGCCCCAAGGCTACCCAGATTGTGGAGGAGTTGTAATCCAGCCTCTCGGATTCCTGCTCCGTCGTGTTTGCCGCCCTATGGCAAGGTCATGGCGCTTAACCTCTTTTTGCTATGGGCCAAATTGTTGCCCCCGCCATTCAGATGTTGAAGTCCTAACCCCCAATACATCAGGATATGACTGTATTTGGAGAGAGGGTCTTTAGAGGCAATGAAGGTTCAGTGAGGTCATTGGGGTGGGCCCTAGTCCAGTAGGACTGGTGTCCTTATAAGAAGAAGAGATTAGGACACAGGCACACACAGGAAAGACTGCGTGTGACTGCGGAGGGGACGACCATCTCCAAGCCCAGGAGAGAGGCCTCGGAAGAAACCAACCCTGCCCCAGATCTCAGACTTCTAGCCTCCGGAACTGTGAGAAAATGAATTTCTGTTGCTTAAGCTACCCGGTCTGCCCTAGCAACCTAACGAAGTTGTCCTATCTGTAGAATGAAGATAAAAAAACCTTACATCGGAGACAATCGGGCACTTAAATACAGTCGTCCCCTTCTCCAGTGCAGAAAGGCCCATCCTTTGCCCCTGCAAATCCGATCCATCTTAATTCTGGGGGTGGGGGAAGGGGAGATTTCAAAACCAAAAGTCTCCTTTCACATATCCAAGAGCACTTCTACAACATAGGTTCCTGTTGCTCAGTTCTTCCCACGTCCTCTCAGACCTGTGGGTTCCACCCCTTGAAGCCCCTGACTCTCCTCTCGCCCCTGAGCCAGACACCAGGGGTGTTTGGGAAATTTGTGAGAGCACTTTTAGTTGTCATGACGACTGGGGCGGGGGGCAGATGCAGGCATGCAGTGGGGCAGGGCCTTGGATGTTGGCACCCCACAACCTGAGACTCAGTTATTCACAACGTCAAACCGAGGAGAACTGTCCGGGTCCCGTATGACTTTTAAGTGACTCCCTGGACATTCATGTTGGCGAGAAGTCTGTTTATAAATCTCAGAGCCCAGACCTGACGCCGACGGTCCATATTAAGTACCTAGTATTTTCTTTTTCCCACGTGTTTAAGATCTACTGAAATTTCCAGGAATGCAACTAATCGGTCAACGAAGGGACGATTTTACTTTGTTTTGTTCTGAGCTTTACCAAGAGTGGTTCATCACTTACCCCCCCCCCCAAAAAAACCCATGACAACAGTAGTAATGCCACGTGTCTTATTTACATCTCACTGTGTTTGTCACTGTCTCTCTCAGGCTCTGTGAGGTGTGGGCAGCTGACTATTTCATTACTTCTACTGTAGTAATATGTAACATTTACATATTAAAATTCATCTCATTTTATAACACATCACCTTCCTTTTATTTTTCCTTTATGTAAAAAAGTCTTACGGGATAAAGAAAATGTACATAAGTACAATGAAATATTCCTTGGCAATCAATTTAAATGAACAAAGTACTGATCCAGGCTACAACATGGATGAAGCTGGAAAACACGCTATGTGAATGAAGCCAGACACCAAAGACCACATATTGTAGGATTCCATTTATATGGATGTTCAGAACAGGGAAATCTATAGAGACAGAAAGTAGATTAGTGGTGGCTTAGGGCTGGGGGGTGGTGCTGAGCTGTGGGGATTGAGGAGTGATAGCTAAGGGGATCAAGATTTCTTTCTGAGGAAATGAAATGTTCTAAAATTGATTGTGGGCATGGATGCACAATTCTGAATACAATAAAAACTTTGAACTGCATGCTTTCGATGGGTGAACTGTATGTATGTGGAATTAATATCTCAATAAAACTGTTAAAAATCTTACAGATTTAGATAGGTAATACATCTACATTATATGCATTTTCTATGTACTGAAATGAGTGTGTGTGTGTGTGTGTAATTTCAGAGGTAAGCGGGCTGGGAAAATATTTGTAGGAGAAAGAGGACATGGGGTTTGACAAGCCTGAGAACCACTGCTCTACTTGCTCTGTTCTTTGTTGATCTGACTGCAACTTTTCCCTCCCTCCCTCTTGCTGACTTCATGGCAGGCGTACTAACTCCCTGCTGTTCCTTCAAGTTACAAGCTTGGTGCAGACTCAGGGCCTTTGCACCCGCTATGCCCTCACTTAGAATGCTCCTACCCAGAAAAGGAGGCTCACCTCTCTCATCATTCAGGTCTTTGCACAAATGCACCCCCTTAGAGAGGCCTTATCATCCCAATTATCAAGGCTTGTTTATTTGCTTATTTTATGTCCTTAGCACAGACACCTCCAGACTTGTATCCAGCTGCTAACCTCAAATCTCTAGAATGATGTCGAATGGACACTGCAAACTTAAAATCCAAAGTGGAACTCCTCATCTGCTCAAATGTGTTTCTACCACGGTCTTCCTCATTTCAGTATGTGGAAAATGCACCCTTTCACTTCTCAGGCTCAAGACTTAGGAGTCCTCTCTTTTCCTCCCACTCAACATCCAATCAGCAATTCTGTTGTCTCTACCTTCAAAATATACAGTAAAGGGGGGGCCTGGCTGGCTCAGTCGGTGGAGTGTGTAACTCTTGATCTCGGGGTTGTAAGTTCGAGCCCCATATTGGGTGTAGAGATTACTTAAAAAAAAATAAAATCTCGGGCGCCTGGGTGGCTCAGACGGTTAAGCGTCTGCCTTCGGCTCAGGTCATGATCCCAGGGTCCTGGGATCGAGTCCCGCAT